GCAGATGCCTCTGAAAGTCTATCTTTGTCAGCTTAAGATATGAGTCATTCCAAAACGTCCAATATAATCATTTAAGTGGCATGCAAGTCTTTGCATATGCATGCCCCATCCAAAATTTAGAACTAATACGGTTCTCAATGGGTCGAGGTATTCTACATTCGAATCTTGAGGGCAATAAGACATTGCAGCAATCAGATTAATTAAGCCAACACCTCCCTGGTCCAGCAATTATGTGCCCTATGAAAGCTGGCTTATCAATCTAAACAGCTAAAATCATAACCACATCCTGCAACCTAATGGTCATCTCACCAACTAGGAAGTGGAACGTTTTCGAATAAGAAGACCATGTATCCACTAAAGATTTCAACAAATGGAGATACATCCTGATGTACCTTATCAACTGACATTTTCTAAACCCACCATCCTTAATGCAGCCATAAACCTTAGATAATTCATGATCCAATCATGCACCATAAGTATGTGTGATGCTGCTTCTAGGATCGTACCCTATAGAAGATAAATGGCATTGTCAGGAATTAAAAGCATAAATAGAGGCAGTTCAATAATAACTAAAAAGGGATGTATAAATTAAAAAAAAAGTACCTCATCTGAATGAGCTGCTCTGTGGCTCCCATGAAGTGAGGATGTGATCTTATGGTGAATGTCGACCAATGATGAGCCATAGTTGGGTTCCTCCACAAGAGATTGATGCCTACGGCGACGCTTGGGTGGCGTAGGAGGTTGTCTTCCATGGTTCTTATAAGATGATAGGTTTAGAGCAAGAATTTAAATTTTATATCTAATTATAAAAGGAAGCAAGTAACCTATGAACTGACCTGATATGACCTGTTGTCCGATTGTGTCCTACCATGTGACACACACTACGAACTCTACTGCTTCATGGTTGAGATTCATCCATTATGTTTCATATCACCTTGTATATGGTACTACGTGATCACCTTCTGTAGTTGGGTGGGTGAATAGGGTAAATCCCATGTATAGGGTCATGAAAATTCTAAATTAAAAAAAAAAGTACCTCATCTGGGTGGGTGAATAGGGTAAATCCCTGTCTGAAATATTATGAAAATCGTCAGAATATGTCAATTTGTAGTTGTTGATGTTGTAGTACTCATACACACAATCAAGTTAGCTTCATCTTAACATTGAGACAGAGCTTACAATGTATGGGAAAGATGCATGGTAGATCATAGCTGGTCCATAACTATACAAGCGCATTATATCACTAATTAAATATATCCTATATGATAATGATGACATGTAAAAAACTTGGAACTCATGCATATTAATATGAATCGATTCTGGCAATCTCCTAATTACCTCCTGTTTGACTCTTCTAACCATTGCCTAATATGTGGTGCGAACATACTACTATTCTGAAGCTCTTCAACATTAATCATCTCTAATCATCGGATGAACATGGCTACTACACTATTATAGTGTATGGAAATTATCAATGCCCTAATTGGCAAACCTTGTGTTATTTTTAATACTCTATTGAAGGACTTTGATGTGTTTGTTTTCATAACTCAATATCGAAGGAAAACATTATGTGTTAAAGCCTAGCACATTACATCTCAATCTATCAGACATTGTTGAATCACAAGTCTGACCTTGAGGAGACTTAACATGCATCATTTGAATAAGTATTACCTATTGTATACATCTTTTGTCATAAAAGTTCCATATCAGCTACACCAATTTATCATACTTCCTTTTTAAAAATTTTCACACAACAGTCATAAATAGTAATAATGGGTAGCAATAGGAAATATTTCCTGGTATCCGTGATCTAAACCAGCATTTTTGTTGGATATAATACATATATTGGACCTTATTTTAACTATCGGCAGTAGCTAGTGCATTTGTCATAGGAACCAAATCCAAAATTCAACTCACTCTAACTCAACAAAATGCTAGTGCATTTTTTTTTTTTTGCATCCATTCCCACTGCTGTCAGTAAAGTACCTCAATATTTACCAAGCAGGAATATCCCATCAAGGCTATGAACAGGGGAATAAAATCTCCACCCACTAATAGAAGGGTCGAAAGACCAGAACATTATTTGGAATCTATGTGTTCGAGGATTGTATCATATACACTATTTATGGCATTGCTAATACAATGGCATCCACACACATATTAACAATCTGATATGATTCCTCCCAGTTCCCAAACATAATCTTAACAGCCTTCTATCTAGCATCCCAAGACAAACTTTGATATTAATTTTCACTTCAATTCAGCCTATAATCTCTCAGGCTTTTGGTCCATCTATTTTCTTATAGTGGGCAATATGAAGTAACTTATAAACTAAGAATTACACTTACTGTGTCCAGCAACAACAATATGACTTGTATACATATAATGATGCTTTACATATAAGAATTGTCATATGCCACCTAAATGCTTGATTAAACTAGCATGGAACGCCATAAGAAAGGATTGGCCAAGCTTTCATGATGTGTATATATTACTGTAAATTTTTGCTTATTCGATGTAATGATTACAAATTGAATATTATTTAGGATAAACTAGCCTTGTAATGCAAACTGTAGGTCTGATTTCCATGTGAAACACATCCCTTCAATCAATTATGTAGGAATAAAAAAATCTTCTTCTACTTTTTTTGATACATATGTTATTGTCAAAGGAAATTTCCTCGTTCCATTGATGGGTAGTCCAACATTTTTCAACATAATTATAATTACTAGTTATTCCTTCTTCAATGCCAACAGTCCTAGAACAATAATTTTGGATGACAATATGTATCTCATCATGAGCATCTACATTAGCTTCACTTAAATCAAGTAGTAATTCATCAGCACTCTCACCACCATGGTCGCTAGATCCACTACACATTGACTCATAACCTTCATCAATAATGGAGGATGATCTATTCAAAGGGCCAAGAGCATCCAGCCAGAGTTGGTTTTGTATATCACTATTAAAAACCAATAAAAGAGCTAAAAAAACTTAAGCTTGCTGACAATATGTTTAATGGGCAACTTACTGTACACATAGTTCTTTAACTGGTAGAAGCTTTGAAATGCCATCATGCACTTCTACCCTTTCCTCCGGGCTGAACGATTCACGTATTTAGGAGGTCAGATTTTCAGTATTACTTATTGGCATGCTCACCTCTTGAACTTCCACATAAAGGATAAAAAATTCTTCAGTAGCATGGCATAACAGAACTTTGCACACCTCATCATCTTCATCATGAGAAATAATGAAATCATTCCAGACCAGCAAACGACAAACTAAGTTTACTATATACTTGAATGCAACGTACTTGAGTGCTTTGAGCCCCCTTAATTTAAGTTGCTCCAAGTTTGTGCTTATTGGCACTTGAAAGAGACGATTCCTACCCCAAGTATAAGTTGACGTAATATTAGCCATCCAAAGTTATTTCACCATCAAACATAAGCATAAACAAAGCTCCTCGTCTACTCATTATGAACTGTTACATTTCGTTGATAAGTTTTAAGAAAAGGAAATAAAAATCATGTCTACTTATAATTTCTTCACAAATAAATTCTAAATAAGTTGGTAAGTTCAATAGTGCAGTTGCAAAGGTACACTAATCATTATTCACAACAGATTCTATGATATTGTTTGAGACAACTTTCTTATTGCTTTGTGAAACAACTCTTTAATATAAAAAAAAAAATTAATTAGAATTTTTTGTTCTAGAAAATTGATTCATAAAGTAAGAAGAAAGTTGTCCCGAACAAAGCCAAGATCACTTAATTGTACCCTAACCTTACCAATTGGATAACCAATTAAATTCGATCTTCATAAATATTCTTATTTCAACGTAATACAAAGTGCTGATCAGAAATCTGTGGTTGAATCAATGTATTTGAGGTCGCTCTAATTCCTTCTAAATTTAAAATAATTTCTCTTAGACAAATATATTGTTGACAATTGGGCTAGAATATTCTAACCCAAATTTGATTAAAATAAGTCTCAATTAGATGAGCTCAATATATATTTTTATTGATAAATCATGAATCATAATAATCACTACAGTGAAAAAATGATTTAGCAATAGTTTTTTTATAGGCTATTGCAGCTTAATCAATCATGTATTGGATGCTCGCCCTTTTGATTCATAAAGGTTAAAATAAATGCAATTAATGCTATCTAGCAAATTTAAATTCTAATGATAACTTGCAACAATTTGACAAAATAAAGATAGCCGCACAATATTGGAGAAATTATTCTGTGTAGACACCGGACGGTCCGAAGACCAACCAGAAAGTACCACGTCACCTAGTACACAACGGTGCTGAACACCGATACTGAGTAAAAAATGACGTGGCGCATTCTGCTTGATCGCAGGATACCTTCTAGGTCTGCACAGAATAATTTTTTACAATATTGAACCAATTGCTCCCAAAGTACTATATATCAGTGTAACTTCATTGACCTGACTAGCCAACCAATACCTCTCAAAATTAAGGGCACACATAAAAATATTATCACCATGTGTATCAATCATCGGGGCCTGTGGAGACCATCCAGTCCTCATATTGAATAATTTCTTATGAGAAGATCATATAGCTGTAATTTTTATCGTCAGAGAAAATTTGAGTAGAAGAGCTCGCATATATCTCTTCATTGAATAAAAACTTGCATTTTTAAGATCACAACAATAAAAACTTGCAGTTTGTGATGACTTTCTTACTGCTTTTTAAAGCAGCTTTTTAGAAGAAAAAAAAATTAAACTTTTGTACTAAAAAATTGCTTTAAGAAGCAGTAAAAAAATCGTCTCAAATGAAGCCCAATTGTTACAAAAGAACTCATCTTTGGACGTGCAACTGGTTTGTAATGGCTATTCTCGCAATGGGTATACCTGAAATGGCATACAGAGATTAGAATAGATATTTGCATCAATACAATTATCATCAGTCCCAAATATGCTAGACCAGCAACATATTTATACAGAAGCTACTGCTTATATTCTGATGCTCCTCTTTTTCAGTAAAAAAAAAAACTTTTACATTCTCATACAATAATAACGTATACAGAGTTCATTTCCGAGACTAAATAAACTAGTCAAGCACTTACAAAACATTGTATTTGTACAGAAGCTACTGCTTATATGCTCCCACCGCTAATGACAACTTCATCAGCACCAATCTTACAGAAACAACAAAATAGCTTAAAACTTTTTGAACCAAATGCCTTCTATTTACCAAACAACAGTTCAAGTACAGTTTCTATACCCTCTGCACTTTCCAGCGCCGGCAGAAATCAAAACTAAGGCTTTCTTTGGGCGGCTTTCTGGCTCTTCTTAAAATAGCTTTTTAGTAAAAAAAATTTTAATTTTTATAATAAAAAGTCGTTTTGAGAAGCAGTAAAAAAGCCGTCCCAAACGAGGCCTAAAGCTTCAAAATATGAGATTAGCTTAAGCAGCCGTTTCAGTTTCGATAGCCACCGGCTTTACTTCTAATGCATAAGCTGGGGGAGTCGATACTTCCATGAATCTGTTAGTAGACTGCTTCGAGTCTGCGGCGGCAAAAAAGGGACTTCTTGCTTGCATGGTACTGGATTCGGGATCCATGGAAGGAGCCCTTCTTGGAGGAGAAGGTGGTTGGACCTCCACATCTGGATAAGCTGCCTTGAATCTTGCCCTCAGACCTTCATCAACTAACCTTACTCCATTTAGCTGGTTTCCCAATGAAAGCCACCTGCTCAGGATCATTCCTCCATCAGTGCCATCAATGAGATGCGTAAATATATATATATATATATATATATATGCATCCCACTAATTTTAATAATATTAAAAAGAATAATTATGATTATATGGTCTTAACCCCAGTATTAGCATCATAAAGCCACCCCAACGGTCACCTGAGTTATTTACAAAGCAGTTGATTGTCATAAAGAAGCTAATATTAGCACACCAACAGCCCCCAACAAAAAAAACATAAAGAAAACTATGGCTTCGTTTAAGACGGCTTTCTTGTTGCTTCCTAAAGCAGCTTTTTAATATAAATTTTTTATTTTTTTACTAAAAAGTTGCTTTAAGAAGCAGTATGAAAGCCGTCCCAACCGAAGCCTATATCTCCATCCAATCTTTATCATTTGGTGCTACCAACCCAAAACAAACCTATTTCCGCTTATTCCCCAATCCACTTCCAGTTAATCACTTTCCCAATATTTAAATCCACATATATCCTACCCTACCAATCAACACCACCCAAATTCTTGCATCTTCTGCATTTTTTTATTCGCAAGTGAGGAGTGGACTTGCACTCCTGCCGAGGAAATTTGGCGTCATGAGGTAGGGGAGAGCAGCTTAAGAGTTAACTGAGATTTATGTGCAGCAGCAAAGAGCGAGATTTATAAGTATATTTTAAGGCATTAAAAAAAAATTATATGCTACGTGAGCAAATAAAAAGTTTAAGATTTTAGATTAGTAAATAAAGATATAGTAGTAATTGATATGAATCTATATCCTTTTTTTAAGGGTTCAAATTGTTAGACGATACAGTTTTTTAACATAGAAAACCCATGAATGAGATAATATTATCCATAACAATTGCTCAAGTTGGCACTCAGTATTCAACCAACCTGAGATAGTATTTCTGCATCTAAGGATAACTTATAATGATGTGATGAGGAACAATAATTCAAACAAATAGTCACCAACCAAGTGTAGGTTTGATAGAAATTTGTAAATGACATCCACATTTGGATGACTAAATAAAACTTTGTAACGATAGAAAAAGAACGTAGCCTAACATGCTCAAATCTCTCTTCCTTAAAAAAAAAAATGCAAGCTTGCCTTGATATGATGATAATTGCTTATAAATTAGATGGAGCCAAGTCTAGACAAAAATGAAAGAAACTGGTTGGAAGTAGAATAATTGAATTTCGTGAATGATGAATCACCTACAACTTCTGCAAATAGAATGAAAATTGTGAGCAAATGTAAGCATGGATTCTGATGAAATAAGAGCAACCATAGGAGCCTTTGCAACAGAAGGACGTACCGGCGTAGGAGATGGAGACATCGGATGAATTGAAACAACTACCGTGGCCCTAAGAGCATCCAAGGAGAAAAGAAATTGCAATGGAGAGAGAGAGAGAGTGTGTGTGTGAAATCCAAAACCAACGCATAAATGAGCAACAATGATCTAGACCTAGGGAAGAAAATTGCCTGGAGCAAAAAGGGGCTGTTAGTGCAAGAGGAGCATATAGGGGCGCAGCTTTAGGCAACCCAACAGGAGCCATCAGGCTATAGCCCAAGCAAAAACCACAAGATCAAGCTAGAAGGTGTGTAAGAGTGGCATCGCATAGAGGCGTTGTTAAGTGTAAATTGTGTACTATTTATTGTATTTAAATTCAGTGAAATCATGTTATTTTAGTTATGTGTGTGTAGGAAATGCTAAAGAAAAGGCAAAAAAATTCACAACGCCTCAGCGTCGCGTGGATTCAACAAAGCAGCACACCAGTTCAGCCAACAGAGACGTCGAGTAAGTGCAGCGCTGCAGCGGAGCAAGCCTAACAGCGTTGAGGCACTAGTTCAATTTATGACGTCGCAGTGCCACCATTTCGAGCGTTGCGGCGTCTGATGCCGTTTATGCACTTACTATAAATAGTTTTTTAGGTCTTTTGTTTAGGAGTTATGTCATTTTCGGCAGAGTCCTCTAATATTCAGTGTAGTTCTTTAGTGACCCCTTAAAATAAAATCTAAGAGAGGCTAAGGAAGTGCAATATACTTTCATTGGAGATCTTAGTTTGTCTTGTGTAAGCAATCCTAACGTTGGAGGAGAAAGGAGTGTGGAGAAATCAATTATAATATCCTGGTGAAAATTTTCCTTATTGTTTCTACTGAATATTTTCTTTTATGAGCGAAATGAAAATGAGTTTGTTTTCTAATTTATCAATGTCTGACTAATTTTTTAATTTTGGGCTAATGATGGAAGGCACAATGTAAGTATTAATGTAGACTCTCATGCCTTGAATGAAATTATGAATATTTTCAATATATATCGTTCTTCATTTAATGCATACAATGACCATGTACGTAGTTAATATTTAGTGTGATATATTATCTCAATGAAGGAATATTAAAATGGAATATTGGCATACATAAACATATGATGTTTAGCCTTCTATGCTCTATGGAGATATTAAAATTGTAGGAAGATTTTGAATCTCCCTTTTCACTCCTATAAGCTCAACAGAGATCTAGGGGTGCATATGCTTTAATCCACATCAACATTTAAGAATCTCATTAGGAAAACATAATTGTTTTACAAGCATTAGTCCAAAATGTATTTTATATATTGACATCACATCATCTATTTGCATTCTCTTTAAGTGACAAAAACTCAGAACCATTCATTCTTGTTCAGTAGTATAAATTTTGCATCCGTAGTAAACAGTACTAATTTGATTGCAATCTAACAGAACACTTCCTCGTGAGAGTGACACTCACTCGTTCACTTTATTACTTGATCGACACGTATATTTGCGTATCTAGTGGATAATTTCATATCAAAGAAAACCTAAGCTAATTCATATTCATACATATATTGTTCAACAGTGTAGCAGTAGCAAGCACAATACAAGCCCCACACACGCTCATTGAAAGACCATCAAGCGTGCAGTTGCAGAAGGTGTAAAGATAAAGAAGCACAAGTGGCCCACACAAGACATCGAGAGAACTGAACAAAATTATTGGTGAATAGGGCGTTCAGCCCACACAAAGAAGCTTGTTCTTTCTCTCTATGATGATAATCAAACCAAAGATAATTAATAAAATCATAATTAATCATAATTAGCACAATTATGGGTTAAATATAGTTTTCATTAGAATCATTAAGATTTTAATAGAATTTGGTTATGATGATTAAGCATCGAATAATTAATCAATTCCTCTTAGGAATGCGGAATTAACAATTAACTATATATTATGGTTAATTAGGAATTAATTAGTATTTTAATCAATGCCCCTAAAATTTTGAACTGATTATTAAGTTATATTTATGGTTGGGTTAACTAAAATATTAATGAAAGATCAGTTTGACTAATTAAATATAGAAATATAATCGATTAGAACATTGATTCATATGTTAGTTTGACTAATTAAATTAATTCATGATTATGATGATAACATAAATAAATAAAGCTTAGCAAAGATTTAATTACAATGACAAATAATTAGATGGATTAACTATGAATTAAAGATAGTTATTTATGATAATTATATAATATTAATAATATTTTCTTTTTTTTGGTGCCAAAATGGGGTTTCTATTCTTTCTATAAATAGAGAATATGTAAATCCTCCAAATATAATTTTATGTTTTAAATGAAAATAAAAATCAAACAAATGCAAACATGGCCCAACTATACAAAAGCTAGAACTTTGTTGGATTTGACACCAATATTTAAACAAGATAATTCAATTCAATTTGTTAAGAAACAACTATTTATTTATACAAAAGCAATGTCCAGGAATAAATACAATGAGAATGTTGACAATTTTTTTCTTGTCGGCTCGACTCCGATCGAGCCGAATCAGATCTGATCGGATTCAATTGAACCCGATCAACTCGAACTGAGTCCTGTCTAAACCAATTTGACTCAATTCAGGCCCAATTTGAATCCAATCAAGCTCAATTTCATTACATTAAATCAAATCGATCAAGATCGATTCAAATCAGTCTGATTTGAACCTAATTCGAACTCAATTGACTTCCCAAATCAAGAAATCTAAATCTAAGGCCTGAATTACCTTGGAATTTCAAGTCTTAACGGCTGTTGTCTTATAGAATCTCACGATCTCCTCGATTAGGAGCGGATATGAGCGCAAAGCCTTGCTTCATGCATAAAGAGAGTTGGAGAGAGCACAGGAGTCTTCCTTTTGGTGTGCATCCTTCGTGCGTCAAAACAGAGAGAGACGAGAGGCTTCTTCCTTCTACTTCTGCGTGCGTCTGACCTGAGCCCGAGAGGACAAGAGGAGCGGCGATTTCCTGCTTCTGTGTGCTTCCCCTTTAGCAAGAGTCGAGCAAAACAACTCCAATTCAAAGTTTCTTTCTTTCTAAAGAGTTCAAGAGCTTCTTCCTTCCTGCTTATAAACTCCGGCAAGGTTGTGATAGCAAAAAGACGTTCGGGAGCAATCCAAACATCGAACTCGTACTTCATCCTTCCTCTGTCTTATCTTTTCAAGGAGACAGGATATCGGCTAGCACTGACTTGCTCCGATGAGGTATATCCCTCAAAACATAGCAAAACCTAAGTCTATCAGACAATCCCCAAGCCTTAGGACCCAAGAAGCCCATGCATTATGCCTTCTAAAACCCAAAAATGACCCATATATTTGTTGTCCACTCCGCGAACTAGTGAAAATCCATTGATTCTTCATGGGTTGCTCTCATGCGAGAACACGTAGGGGGTGGCGACAGTGAACATAAATATCTATTTGCATGAATATCTACAAATATCCTCCTCTTATATTTTTTGTGTTGACTAAAAAACCTATAGAGGCATGAGCTTAATGAGAATAGGAAAATTAGATGCCAGCAACAACAACATCAAGCCTTTATCCCACAACGTGGGGTCGGCTACATGAATTCTTTTACTTCATTGTATCCTATTAAGAGTTGAATTCTTATTTAAATCTAATAAAAAAAAAAGTTAATTCCTGATCTTTTCTAACCAACTCTTTTAG